GCTATAAAAACTCTATACTTTTTGCTGTGAAATACACTCATTCATGGCATTGAAACTATGACTCGTATAGAATGAGTAGTTTAATAGGCTTTTATAGCAAAAATGAATAGTGCGTCGACCGATATAATCACCGATTTGGACACCTAAGACATTCCGCTAGATTACCGGACCTGGGTAGTCCTATTATACCATACCATACGAGTATAATTCACTCGGTTTTAATTGCAATTAGCGTAAACACTTGCCGTTCTTGCATTGTTAGATAGGTATTAAACTATTTTGTTAATTCTATAATATAAATATTGCCTATTTTCAATTTAAACAAATAATAACAAATTACATATGCTTCAGTTTCTAATAAACTAACTTTTTAAAAACAGATATTAGTTAATTATACATGGTTATTAAAAACTTATAATACCGTACGTATATTATATTATTTAATTTCTAACAAAAAATATAAATATATTTGTTGTGAACGTTTTATAAAAAGTTTATAAACTTTATGTTTAAAAATATAATAACAAAATAAACATTAAAGTAAACTGTTCGTATGATTCTTGGAAATACTGTATATCCATATGTGTTAATAGATAGCCGGGAGCTGTATGTTTTGAGGGCTGGCTGGCTATCCATCTACTTGTATATACCATATTCCTGTTGAATGTATGGCCTCTTTATTTCACTCAAGGCTACAATACCAGAGCCCGAAGGACAGGTAGTCTCCCAGCATAAACACAACATTAACCATACATTCATATGTAGTGGTGATCAGCAAAACACTTGCGAAAAACATTTTACAAAACCATTGTTTATAATAAAAACAATATTTTTTGTTATGTATTGACAATAATTTCTAACCGTGTAACTATTTTTATCAAGATGAATTCTAGATAAATCTGTATTAAAATTGTTTTATTATAATTATAATCGCAAATATTCTGTAATAATGTTTGCTATGAAAAAATGTTTCGCAAATAATATTCATTATAAATACAATCAAGTGTTTCGTATCAAAAACTATTGTATAAACCGTTGGATATCCGGTGGCTATAGCTATGTGTTTGAGCCCTCACTGGAGCCCCTGTCGGCCCAAACTGTGGGTCAACTGATAGCTACCTGTGCCGAGGACTCGCCCGACCGTACGGCAGTGGTGTCTGTCCACCAAAATATCAGCAAAACCTATGGTGAACTCAATTCCGACGTAAGTCTTGAATAATCAGATCTCATAATAAGTTTAAAATTTTACTTTACTACAAAATGTAAATAAAATTTTATAATTACAATTAATTAACCAGATAATTATAATATATAACTGATATACTGTGCTAGGATATTTAAATATAATATATTAATACACATAAATTTACGTAAACTTAACCACTATAGATTATTATACATGTAATAATTTTGACATAGCTAGCATATTGCACAATTTATTATAATCTTATCTATATTAATAATCTAATCAGTTTATGCACTCACAATCTATTTATAAGCTTTGTTTATGTAATTAACAAACATTATATAAATAATTATGAACAAGGCTAATAAACTGGCAATGAGTCTGAGGGAACTGGGATGTGGTCGGGGCGACCGGGTGGGCATATGGGCCCCCAATTGCTACGAATGGCTACTCACCCAATACGGCACCGCAAAGATCGGCGCTATTATGGTATGAATTGTGAGCAAAAAATAGTTAATATTTTTAAATTAACTATTTTTATTTATTTTATTATTAGGTTAACGTGAACCCGGGCTACCGGGCCAGTGAGCTCCAGTATGCCTTAAATCTGGTGGGATGTCATACGCTGATATGTAGCCAACGGTTTCGGTCCAGTAATTACTGCGAGATAATGAATGATATTTCACCTGAACTTTTGGGCAATAAAAATAGCAAGGTTATTGATTGCGAAAAGTATGTATAACTTTGGTGAATTTTAATCAGTTTATTTGGAAATTGCATAATATCTAGGCATTTTTTGTAATTTATAAAAATTAATACTAAAATTATTGGTAAAATTCAAATAAATTATTATATCTCTATGTTGTGACAATATTTACGTAATGACATTGAATTTAGCCATTAGTTTGCAAATGTTTTTTTAAACAATGTTTTTTATATAATTATGTCATAATATCTAATAAGTTACTAAAATGAGTTTGTAGTATTTTTATTTATATTATATTTAGAAAATAAAACATTGCGCACATTATTACCATATTTTTAAGTATAATGAAATATTATATTATAATTAATTATTAATATTATTATTCTACAATTTTATAAAAAAAACTATTATACAATACTAGTATAACATTTATCAGAGTATAATAAAAATTAACATTGTACAGTATATTAAATAATTTTAAAACTTATACTGTATTTGCGCAAACTAGATCATAATTACCTAGTTTAATTTTAAATACAATTAAATTTAATATATATTTAATTTGAACACAGAATCCCGAGCCTCAAGAATATTGTAATGATAAACAGCGCGCCCAATGAGCCGGACATCGCGCCCACACATGTCACCCGTTTTGACGACTTGCTAACCCCTGACCACCAGTTCCCCGGCGACGACCCCGCCATACAGTTTGACGACCCAATAAACATCCAGTTCACATCGGGCACCACTGGCCACCCAAAGGGGGCTACCCTTACCCATCACAGTATTATACAGAATGCCTGGTTTGTAGGCAAACGTTCACTCGAGGGACTGGACCCTAAGGGGCTGAGGGTATGCGTACCCAACCCGCTGTACCATTGCTTTGGATCCGTATTGGGTTCCCTGTTAA